TACCAATGTGTTTGCCCATAACCACATTGCATGAATCCAAGAGTCAGGGTCCTTTAAAGCATTTTCAACTACACTCAACCACAAAACCCCACCCAACCACCTAAATCAAACCAGATTTTTGAAACACTCTGAAACTGGAAAGACCCCATCTAAAACCCAAACGTTAAGCTTTTGTGTTATTTTAGTGCAAAAAAATAAGTAAATTAGACTGTCTTTTGGTATGTGTTGCTATTCACTACACAGCAAATATTGTCTACACTGGGAATGAGAAGTAAATAGACACACGCAAACATCTGATAAGACACACTCCACACTTAACACTGTTGACAGAAACTGTCACACTGACTAACTAAGACCAGCACAGACTCCACGCTTATAGTCCTGAAAGAAAGGGGATTTTTATGGGGCACTGGCTAAGGTTCTTCATGATAAGCAACTGTCAGAGAATGTTTACTATCTCAAGTGCCGTCATCCATAAAGGCAATGGTGTTTCTACAAAACGATGTGTGCCAGCTAATTTTTTTTTTTTAAACTCAAATAAATAGCATTGTTTTAGATTTATTTTTCTCTCTGGTGTTTAGTTTCAAAACTTTTAAAAGAACCTGAAATAAAAATAAAATACAAATAATAAACTTTAGAAACTGCCTGGGTAAAGTAACATTGTTTGTATAAAGTTTGCTTATTTGAACAGCGAAACCCTTTTCCTGAATCATTTAATGAAAGAACCATCTTTCAAGGGAGGGGAGAAACTGGGGAAATTCTACTGGCTTCAGTATGTAATTCCAACCAGGCCCACCTAAATGTCTCGACAGAAGTCATTGTTTTTTTATGATAGCACCAAACAGCAAGTGGATAAAACTTCAAAGTCACACTTATCCCTGTATAAGCATCCAGTTCAGACATACAGAGACTCCAACCGGATGTTCCTCTGCCAACTCCCAATAATGGAAAAAGTGACATTATTTTGGGATGAGTGTGACATACAAAGGAGTAAATGGTTTTAACTCAACATTTCCAAATGTACTTTCAAAGCAGTGACAGAACTTTTATTTATTTATTTTTTTTTTTTATTTTTTTTTTTTGTAACTTAGCTATGTGGTGGTGAGTTGGTGGTGGCAAAACAAAATGAAGCAAAATTTGGAAAATTATGGAGCATGAAGCTCTCGGAAGCTTAAGCTGTTGAGATAAGACAGGATGTGCGTAGCAGGGAGGTCAGAAGGCACCACTTCCTTTGACAGGGCCTGGGAACCACAGCTCCCAGTCTCCCAACATGACCCACTACGAAGAAGAGACAACAAAGCCACATCTTCAACCACTTTGTCAGTTTGTACTCATCTCCTGGTGGATATAAATACTGTCATTTGATTCTGCTCAGTCTTCAGTACATCAATTTTCTTGGGTAATGGCATAACAATGGACCCATCTACCCAACAGGGCAACATGAGTGATGCGAGCTTTGTGTTGCTTCACAAAATTGCAGAGTAACAAATCAGAAATCAAACAAGTAATCTGAAACATTGAATTTTCTAGGAGTTGAGGCTAACAGTATTATTAAAGGCATTCCTGAAGGGGCAAACAGGGCAAATGGACAGGGGATAGAGACAATAACCTGAAAGCACCAGAGGGAGACGAGGATTCTTACTCGCTAAGCATTCCTTTCTAATCCACCATAAAGATGCCAAAGAAAACACTAGCCCTGAGGTGCCATGAACTAAACTAACAATCGAATCTGTCTCTTTGCTATGGTCTTTCACTAAATACATGCCTTGCAATGCAAATATATTTCTAATTATGTCAAAATGCATTATTAGCCTTTTTGTCTTAAAACAATGCAACGGTCTATGGTTTTCATTAAAAAATCATTTTCCATTCTGAGAAAAAATAAAACCTAGCTATTATGAAACAAATAATACTATGCTTTGATCTAAAGCACTTATGCTTGTATCGTGTCGATATTTTCTAAAAGTTAAACAAAGTCAAGTACTTGCAGAGATTTTAGCAACAGAAATGGGCTTCCACACTGGGTGGACAGCCTGCTCTTTATCAAAAGCAAAGATGTCCTTTTTCATTGTGTTTTAAGAGGCTAGGGTTTGCTACAGGGTCATGACAAAACACAATTTATTTGCTGAGCCTGCTACTGAGGCCAAGGGCAAAAAATTTATAGCATTCAGAAGATCACTGAATCCCGGGGTCTCGGGCAACAGAAACGACCCACATTCATTTCAACTTAGTTTGGCAGATATGAAGGGAAAGAGCTGGTGATCTGTGATCTGCCAATGTGCTAAAAAAGAGGATGAGACTTGAGAGCTAAGACAACACGCAGAGAAAAAAAAACAAGATCTTGGTTGCTGCTGCTCAGTGAGAGAGGCAACATGTGCTACAGGGGCTGTGGGCTACCAGCTTCATTCCTCCACAAGCTTGTTTCTCCCAGTATGGGGGCGACTGACTGCTCAATGGCAACACCTGGCCCTATGCTTTCTTTTTGTAAAGATCTGACTTCACTGGATTACCATCACAACATCCACCAGCTGTCCTATACGCAGACACCCCCCACCCCCCCCTGCCCACTAACCCTCCTCCATCCAACTCAGCCTCTCTCCACCCTTTCCCTACCCCCAGTCCAATCTCTCCAGCTGGATCCTCTCTGAGTGACACCCTCTCAATCTGCCTAATTATTACTCCTCCAGTCATGCTGCAGTGGCCCTCTTCACCCACATGCTCTTCAGTTGGACTTCCTGACTGCTCACCTACAAGGCAACATTCACAGTGACATTATCAGCCATTCACTGTCAAGTTCAACGTCCCAAAACACTGAAAGATCATAGAGAATACTTAAAAAATGATTGTGTATGTGAAGAAGAAAAATGTCAGGACATGTAGATGAAACATTTCACTTGTCATTCAAAAAGTATTTGGAATATATTTTGTGCCAACCATTGATTAGTCAAACTATTTAACAGTAGCACAAAAACTAAAGATCTTTTTTTTTTTCAAACAAATTCAGCTTTGAAGCATTTAAAATTGCCAATTCTCTGTTTACCAGATAATAATCAATAATTAAATTTGGAATTAGAACTTAGCACTTGAAAAGAATGGACTTTACAGCTGCAGTCAACTTGTTGCTAAAGACTCACTGGTCATCTTTGACACCAACGCAATGGTCACCATTTTCTGGCGCAAGTGGGCTCTGTAACTATTTTACCAAATGTCTTAAAAAATGCAACAGGTCCTGATGTTTAGGATTTTAAAAAACAAGTGGTCTAAGCTTCCACAGACACGTAATGGTGCTATCATTTGTTGCACCTTAAAAAACTTGTTTTTTCTAAGTTACAGTACATGTTAGTGTTTGGGGTGGTATACCGGTACTTTGGGTAAGATGGCACCTGTCATTCTCAGTATTTCATTTATGTAGGAAGCAATTTCCTATGGCGGAAATCAAACAACAAGACAAATTTACAATGAGCTCTATGTTTTCCATAAAACAATATGCAAGGTTTTAAAGAACAGAGGCATTTGGCTTATTTTCCACTGGTATTCCAAATTCTTTGCAAATGCCAAAGCATGTGTCTGTTTTATGTTTCATTCCCCTCTGTGTTGCCCGCATTTTGCCATGGCCTTTCTTCTCAACGTCTCTGCACCCTGTGCTGTGGTGCCAGGTTTCAGCCAGGTATCTGGGGGAAGAATGGATCTTTTTTGCTGTTTTGGATCTCCCATTTCTGTAGGTTCCCATGGGAAGGGGTGGGGTGGCTCCACCACTCAAAGTACTGGTCCGACCACTCTCATGTGTCCACGCTCGGCTCCCCTGCTCTACGCTGCTTTGGGACTTGTACACATTGTGACATTTAATTTCCACTTTCATTAGAAATGCTTTAACTTTAAACTTGAGCAACTTTTCTTTTCTTTTTTCACACAATGATCATGAATACATGTGTCTAATTTCTTTACCATATGCAACTACATGGTCACAAAGGAGTAATGGAACAAAAAAGACAAACAAAGGGAAAGATGATGCTGCCATGCCACTAAATTTGGAAATTTAAAAGACTACGCTTTTTAAGTAACTTCACAGGAGGGTGATTTTATTTTGAGTGGTAAAAAGAAAACCGTTACCGGTACTTCTAAAACTGATGGTAAGCTTGGTGTCAAATGATGTTTTAAATACATTTAGACTCAGCGACTCTCAAATATCTTGACTAAAGCTAATGATTAAAAAATGTGGGTAACAATTACTTGCTTCACATGCCGTCAAGTTACACATTATCTAGCATGGAATGGTTACTACAAGTAATAAAAAAAAAATCTTAACAGAACAAAATGCAGCACTGACCCAGCTCCAATACACAGCACCAAAAGCTCTCACCAATAAATTAATACATTTACTGTTTTGGAGGGAAACAAAGGCTTCCAAAGAAGTTTTTGTCATGCATTTCATTTATCTGAAACACTTAAGCATGTTTGCAAAACTACAGGTTTTTAAATGAGGCAGTCTCCCCCAGGCAACTGAACTATTGTAGCAGTCTCCCACAATCCCACCACCACCACCAATTAGAAAAACAAAGGCCTTATCATTGCCAGAAGAGTTCACCAGTTCACAGGCAGAAAACAAGGAAAATTCATAAAAAAACATCCAGGAAATCTTTCACATAAACTTTACACGAGATTCACAAAAAAAATTAACATACAGCTAAAAGAATCAGAAGTTAGTTAAACAAAAAAGATCCTAGGGGGAAAAAAAACCTGATAATCTGACTAAGCCCTTTAACAGGTGCAGGAGATGAGTGAGGCAGTTAAACATGTTGAGGCATGGTGATGCTCATCAACAGGCCTAATCAATTTTATACCTTTCAACACTAAACCCACATGTTGGTTTGGCTGGCTGCTTTAACCACACAACAGAATCTAACAGTGGACAGCTCACTCTTGAAGAAAAGGAAACCAAACAAGACAACATTTGAACGTGAATCTTTAATGTAATGTTGTAGGGAGTATGCTTTACTTACATGCATCGAGAGGGTGAATCTATGCATGTCCCTCCATTTTCGCAAGGTCTGTATTTATCCACACAGCGAAATCCTGTGGAAATTCAGGAGATTTTGTTAGGAAACCATAATTTTTTTTTTATCACATATCCCAACTTATATAGAGACCTCCTTCAGGTTATAAAACCAGACTGAAATGAAATGACAAAGAGATAAAACAAGCTGTGGTTTCATCAGTTCTGCACATTATTGTGCCAACAAACACTCACAAAGCTCAGTAAAACTCCCTGATTGTGATACTTGGACAGCAGGAGGGCCTTTCCTGCTGGGTTTGCTGTTTACTTTGTTCAAATCAGATAAACCTTTGTGTTTCCTTGATGGAGATACAAGCTTACTTTTGTAGATTACAGAAAAACTTGTTTTTAATGGCAATTATTTATCATATAGATTAGATAGCTTCAACTTGAACAATGCGTAAAAAAGGAATTGTCTTTTAAACGTCCATACTCTTTATATTAATGGTTTATCAACTGAGAAAGATAATGTTTTACAAAATAAACTATAATTTAGTTAAAACCTAGAAGTAGTTATTTTTCTATTAGTGAATTTTGTGTATGAAATAATCTGGCATGATGAGAACCTGATTCTTTCAGAAAGTTGTCTGTCTATTCATAAACTGGGTAACAAATAATCAATGAAATTATGAAAGTTGGGTTTTTCTTGTAAAATAGGCTTCTGCTCATTAGCAGCCTGCTCGGATGATCTTCATCATGTGGACGGGTCATTTGTCCTGACATGTGCAGACAACCTGTGGATCTAAAAACACCAACATGCTGCGAGTTTTCATGAAACAACTGGACTCACCTTCGCCAACATGCAAACACAACAAGAAGAAAATAATCCATAGGATATTCCCTTCCATCTCTGTGGAAAAGTTTCCAGCGTATGAAAGCAGATCTTTTGTTTTCAGTAGAAATACATCCTTTGTTTAGAGTTCACAGAGAAATGAAATGTCCACCACTGATGGGGTTTTGTTAAAGGCCCCGTCCCGTTAAGATCCTCCGCAGCTCCACAGCGGCTGCTCTGATTCTCCTCTCGCCTCCTGAAACTTTTGAAAAAGTTTCTCCTTCCCCATGAGTCCCAGCGTCTAGTTTCACTCCGCCTCCTCTTCCTCATCCTCCTCCACCCTCCTCCTCCGGTTTTTCCTCTCTTATCGCACACGAGCGCGTGCACACGCTGTTATACGTGTGCGTGCATGCATTTACAAGACAATTACATAAATCATATTCTAATAAATATGATTGATGTGTTTTATAAGTAGGCTAAATAAATGAATGCATTGCATTTATACAACGAAAGGCCTGTGCCACAGTTTTTATGATCATGATGAGAAATGATTTTGGTCAAACCTTATCCATGAGGTTCGAGTCCAAACTGAAATGGTGTTATGAGGTTAAGCTCAGTGTATATGCAGGGGATGACTCTCAGCTACCACCACATCAAGCTGTAGTTCAATATCTGTAAAACTGATCAAGTTTGGTCAATTTGTCAATTAAATGTGGCAGCTGCTCAAGGGAGTGCAATGAGCATCCTAGTATCTTTTCCAACTGGAATCCAGTTAAAATAGTGCAGACACCAGCCAGGGCTGGGAGAGCGTTGCTACATTATCCACACCCAGCTGAAAACACAAAGACACAACTATACTCACAATCGTTTAATACCTATTTGTAACTGCATTCTGACTCAGTTAAAACACAAACATCTAACGATGGCATAATCACGTGACCTTTTAGATCTTTGCTCATTTTGTGTCAGCAAAATCATAATTTACTCTAAAAGCTTGAAAACGGTTTCCCTGCCAAGCGAAGCAGGTGTCGGTGAGGCCTAACAAGCTCTTGTGGATGATGTCACGTGCACTAACGAAGCTGTCTCCAAACCAGCCTGCTGCATTCATGGCCCAACTCTCTTCGGTAATTTATGCGCAGCACGAGGAATAGAGTAACAGAAAAGGGGGAGACGTTAGGGCAGGGGCAGTGGGCTTGAATATTAGTGCGCTGCCCTCCCCTGCAGAGCGAAACTGTGTCATAATGCTGGACCGCTTTTATGATTCAAATCAAGGCTATTGTCTCTGCGAGCGACCGGCTCTGTGCTGTGCAGCAGAACAACTAGGCTACTATATGCCTGCTGCAGAAAACGAGTCCACAGTGGGCTGAAGAGGTGCTGGCTCAATTGAGAGAGCTGAACTAAAAAAGTCCGGACTCAGATTCTCAACCTTGTCGTGGGGGAAACAGAGATGCCCTCTATCTGCTCGTCTGCTGCCCTGTAAACACAATTCACTCGCTTATCAGCAATTAATCAACTCTAAACATGCAAACAAACAAGCTTACACATAATTGGACACATTCCAGTCTGCCTAAACAATACAGAGATATACAGTCTGGAAGTTATCTTTGTTTGTTTTGAAATTCAGCCTGTTCATTTAAAACATGATTTTAAGTTTGAGAAATAGACCAAAATTAGCATTCACTTTGGAAGTTTCACAAATGATTAGCATTTTAGGCTCAAAGGCATGTTTAGTTGTCATTCATTATTGTTCCTTTTAAGCAAATTATTTATGTTTGTTCTGTGTTATTTAGATCAGGATTTTAGATAAATAATTAACCTAAAATAATCAGATATATCTGAATAGTCTTACCTTTGCATCCACTAAAATGTTTCAATGGCTTCAGTCCTGTGAAAAGCTGAAGGTCTTGCTGTTGATTGTTGAAATCTTCTGAATCATCAGAGTAAAGCTAAAATCAATTGTTTGAATAGAATTCTATTTAAAATTGACCATTTAATGCCAGTAAATAGAGATTGTGAACTTTAAGAAGAAAAAGTAAACAACAACAAGGGAACTTTGGTTTTGCTTTTCCTGGTGCAACTTGTGAAAGTGAACACCCCAGCTAAAAAATAAAATAAAATACAGATTTTATTGTTCCATATTTTCCTAATAGAGCACTTTGTTCTCAAACTGCAGGTTTACTTGTGGTTCCTAGAGTTTCCAAAAGCAGAATGAGAGGCATGCAGAGCTTTCAGTTATCAGGCTCCTCTCTTGCGGAACCAACTTTTAGTTTCTGTCTGTGAGGCTGACACATTGTCTACTTTTAAGACTGGTCCGTCTTTCCTTTTGGATGAATCCTATAGTTAGGGTTGGCTTTGTTTCCTGACCTATCCCTTATCCTATGCTGTTATAGGCTTAGACTACCAGAGGACAAATTGACCTCTTTTCATCAAATTAATGGTTACAAATTAATACAAATAAATACTGTAGTTTGTATTTGTAATAATTTATATCTAACATATGTTGTTTATTTATTTATTTTTTTTATCTTTCCTTCAGAGGGTTCTGCTCACCTTCTCACTTCCATTCTGGACCTGCCATTTTGTGTCCGTTTTTCCTTCCTGTCCTCTCAAACCCAGCCGGTCGAAGCAGATGGACGCTTGTCCTGAACCCAGTTCTGCTGGAGGTTTCTTCCTGTTATGAGGGAGTTTTTCCTTTCCACTGTTGCCTTGTGCTTGCTCAGGATGGGAGACTGCGACAAAATGAAGACTCTATGCAATCTGCTAGCCAGCTTATCCTACCTTAGATAAATAACGTTACAAATTGAATTTTTATGTATATGAATGTATTTGTTCAGTGCCCTGCACTATATAAATAAACTGAATTGAAAATCATGATAATTTCCATTATATCAAAAATGAAAACCCCTTTAAAACATCTTGCACAAACATCTGTTTCAGAACAGTTCTTAGTTTATTTTGTTTTCCTCTTCATTCTGATTGGTATAGGATGCAGTTAGTAAATTTAGTGAAGTCTTAATTATCATTAAACACTTGTCATCTCCTGTGTTTCCAGCTCTCTTTCCCTACACAAACACATAAACAGAACAAATAAATCAGAGATTTGTTTGTACTGCAGAGAACTTGTGGGAAGTGAAAACCTGGGTGACAAAGTTCTCGAGGAGGACTCAGAGGGAACCTCCAGTCACACAAACAAAGATGAGACAGGTCAGAATTTATGACTCCGTTCTCATCTGCGAGCAGAGCAGCACGTTCCTTTGAACAGCATTAGCACTGCTCATAGACGTAAAGCTGAAGAATTAGCTGTTCTACTAGTAAATTGAACTGGGCCGTATTGTGAGACCTATGTTTGGCAGCATCTTTCTGCATTTGTACATCCAGCTGCACACAGTATTCTTAAAAGCTTTCCTTTGAGCATTTAATGTGTTTTTACTCTTCACTGCTGTGGCACACAGAGCTAACAGAGAAGCTTTCATTCAGACATGAATGTGAATGATACTGCACATTTGCAGTGTAAAGAATGAAAGCTGATCAAAACCAGTTAAATTAAGACCACCCATGTAAAAATACTAACTCTGTCGCTACTGTTACCCAATGCTTTGCATTCAGCAGGCAGGCATCTCCATATAGATACACTACTATCCAACTCACATGTAGCCATGTTTCAGTTCCTTATCTAAGTTTTTCCAAAGCTCCCAAATATTTTATCTAATTTAGAGCTGGCATTTTGTTTTTACTCAACATAAATAATACAAATGATAAATGGTCCACACTGACTGGATTTAAGATCTTTTTAACCTCTCCGGGTTCTCACTGCAATGTTCCTTAATTCACCCATTCACACACATATTTTTATTTAACCTTTATTTATACAGGTAGCCTCATTGAGTCACGAGAACTCATTTTCAAGCGATAACTGTTTTAGACAGACAACAATATACAGCAATAAAAACAGTTAAAAACAACAATGTTATAAAAACAATAAAATCAAGGTGCTTTATAAAACAAGTTAAAATACTAAAAACAAGAACACTTTTTTACTTAGATTTTTCTAAAGACCTTAGCAAATTTTTAAAATCCCTTAAACAAATCAAAGTAGCCGTAGCTTCAGCTTTTGTTGCTAGATGTTCCATTACAGGAGCAGAATAAGAAAGGCCTAGTTGCTGAGTTCAGCGTGCACTGAGGGAACGCTGCAGGTAACGAAGCCCTGAGAGTGCACGCTGTAACTGCACTGATGACGTGACATGTGGGAGGAGATATAAGCAGGCAGCAGACTAAGCAGTGATTTATAGATGAAGATGCACCAGTGTGAGAGTCTACGTGTTGTTAATGATGATATTATAGTGAGGTCAGGAGAGTTCAATATCTTGCCAAACACCCTGTGGCAAGCTGCAGGGGCTGGAGATTGAACCTTTGACCGTCCAGTTGGAGGATGACCTCCCAACCACTAGACCAAACTTACGCAAAAACATCCCATAACAAACATCCATCTAGTTTCTATTTAGGCTTTTGGAGAGCTGGTGCCAATCTCCAGTGATCATTGGGTACACCCTGAACAGGTTGATACAAATATAGTTTTATTTGTTTATTTACAAACACAACTGATTGATTGAATGAATTATACAAAGCTGTCCAAAGATCCTCATGGATAGGCTAATGTAGGCTTGAATTTCCTGCTAGAAGTGCTTGTTTTAGGGTATTTCTCCCAAATGATCAGTTGTTAAACAAAAAGTTTCCCTTGTCACTAATACTGTGAATGTTTAATCAATAAAGGCAAAATATTATACGTAACTTGCTATTGTCGTAGCATGCGAAGTAGCAGCCATTACCCTTTCTACAGGCTTGGTGACCTTTCAGTGAGCGCACTCCCTGTGATCAAGGTACTAACAGGGCAGGCAGTGTATGTGGACACAGTGGACGTGATGACTTTACCACCCAGGCCAGACTGATTTATGTGGGAAAAGCCTGGGGAGCACCAACAGAGAGAGTGGAGAGAATAAGAAAGTCCGCTACAAAACGGGTCACAGCCAACCAGCAGCTGAGACCATGTACAGACAGATGTTGAAGCCAATCATTGAGCAGGATTCAAGTTCCTGGTGTGATTTGATCCCTCCCTCAAAATTACCTGATCTCAATCAATCAGTTTCACTTTAGTTTCCTTATGAGTTGGATGGAATCGTGAGGCTCATGGCAGTTTGTGTTTAACAGCACTAGCAGCCCTCATCAATGCTCTCACTCAACTGTACCTAACAGTGATAAGA